ATCGCCCCTGCCCACCTCACCTGCAAGGGAGAGCCCACTGCAGGGCATCCTCCATCCTCTGCGCATAAGCTTTTCTGGGGCCGGGGCAGCGGAGGAATGTTTTAGTTTCAGAAACAGATGGTTTGGGTCTATAGCAGACATGAACAGCTTGATAACCATTTGAACTTCGCACAACCTTGTCTCTGGACTCGGCCCTCCAGATGTTGGGATCTGCCAGTTGGCCATGTTCTTTTGGGTCTTTGACCAGAAACCTCTCGTGCACAGTGCCAGTCCTGAAATGGGGACTTCTCGTTAGGGTCTTATGCACCAGTATTGTTTAGGTTCCATTCAGCAATCCATTCCTTTCAGTTTCTTGTTCTCTGTTTCAAAGCAAACTAGCTGACCTAAAATAAAGCTCATAAAGCACCTGCTGTGTGCATGACACTTTGCTAAACTCCAAGCAAATTGGGAGCATGGCTGTTTTAACCGACTGCAGGCTTCTTACATACAAGGCCATGAGAGAGACATTCATTCACTCTTTCAGTCTCTTAATTTACTCCACAAGTATTTATTGACTGCCTGTTGTGAATAGGGCTGATGGCCCAGCACTTGGTATGCAGGAGGCACTTTGTAAAGACTTAGTAGATTGAATCCAGGGAATTCTGAGTTCAGATGGCAGGAGATGAAAATGTAAATATGCCAGGTGGAAAGATAGGCATTATCTTTCTCAGAGTTAAAAGCAGTAAAATCTGAACCCTTGCTACCTGCATCATGGGCAAGTGATAGCCTAGAAAAGGGACCACTCTCCTGGGCTTTAGTTTCCCCACTAGAAAAAGAATGTTTATATTAAATGATTTTTTTTTTTTTTTTTGGTACCAGGGAATCAAACTTGGGACCTTGCATTTGTGAGGCAAGTGGTGGCACCACTGAGCTAAATCCCCAGCCCTAGATGATGATTTTAAATTTTTTATGGTGCCGGGGATGGAACCCAAGGCCTCATGCTTGCTCAGCGAGCGCTCGCTACTGAGGCGCACCCCAGTGCTCAGTGATGATTTCTTGAGGGCCTTCTGTGTACCACGTGTGTGTCCATGCTGTGGTAACGGCCTCACCCACCTCAGACTTGGTAAAGGTGGAACAGAATGAAGGAAGGGCTTTGGAAAATGTGCTCCACTGCCTGCTGCTGGTGAGGGGATTGAGGGGCTTGCCGTGGCCTTGCATGTCCCACGTGAAGGCCTCCCTAAGACCAACCGTCACTGTACACCTCCCTCCCTGCCCCCCCCCGACCAATCAAGCTTTACTTTAGTTGGAATAGACAAGCTTCCTGGCTTCTCCCCACGCAGTCTGTTTCTGGGCTAGGGTTTGTTTGAGGCCCTGTTTGGATATTGTTAAAAGCGGGCAGCTTGGCTCAGAAAGGTCAGTGGGAGAGACGAGAACAAAGAGATCTTTCAAGCTGGCCTCTTGCCGGGCAGCCAGAAATGGCTCAGAAAAGCCCAGGCTCCACCTGGCACAGGCACCATTAGACCTGGGCTGGCACTGCTCAGCCTGGTGCCCATCTGGGGCACTTGAGAAACCTTCCTGGTTTCTCAGTTTTGGGGGTAAACTGAGGCAGGGGGTATTGTCACCTCTGTAAAAGGAGGTGGCTTCAGCTCAGATCCCACATCTCCGTGCAGCCCTGGCTGCTGGAATCTCTGAGTGGGATTTTCTTCTCTGAAGACATTCAATAAAAATTGGGATTTACTCACAACATGCCTGAGGGTGATGATTTGTTTTGCTAAAGAATTCCTGGGAGGTTATTTAGATGACAAAAATCCCTCATAGTTTGGAAAGAGTGAGATCTAATTTTGGGTCACAGGATCTTGTTAAAATGCAGCACTGGCTCTTTGTGTGTGTGCTATTAGTGGCTGGAGCCCTGGGAGTCAGCATTCCTTCTGGAATGTTGGGGAGGCCGGCTACAGGTACAGAAGTGATGCTGATGTCCAGGTGAAGCTGTGTGCACCCGGCAGTGGCAGAGAGAGATGGTCCTTGTGGTAGTGTGGAGAGGCCACAGTACCTTCTGGCTCCAGCCTCCTGGCAGCAGCCTGGGCTTGGCTACCAGGGAGGAGGCTGGCAGGTGGCCCACAGAATGGAAAATCACCCAAGGTCCACAAGCTGCCGGCTTCCCCTGAGCTGCAGGGCCTGTGTGGCCCCAGGGGCCAGCCTACCTCCTCCTGTGGCTGTTTACCCAGTGCCAGGGAGCACTCCTGCAGACTGAGTTCCCAGGCCAGCTGTTTCTTCTCTGTTCCAGGAACTCACGATGTCTTCTCTCTGGCCTAGTGATGGCTGGTGTTAAGCTGTCCCCTCAGCTGATGGGGCTTGGCTTGTGCCTACTGTGTGGCTCTTGAGTTCTTTTCTGTAGCAGGGACCTCAAGGGGACTGAGGGACTCTGCTACAGGCTCTGCCTCCTTAGGCTTGTGGGGGCCCGGGCCAAGGTTGGTAGGAGACAGATGCACAGGAAGTGGGGGACCCTGCTGAATGTTCCTGCAAAACAACACCAATTAAATAATCAGAAATATGATCTTTAATACAAACTCAAAGGAGACAGGAGAATAATATTTCGCAAGCCTCTGCCACACACCTGGGTGGGCGTGGGCTCTGCCCCCATCATGCTTCCGACAGAACTGTGAGGAACTGAGGAGGCTTCCTATCAGCTGTAGACCTGAACTCAGACCACCTCATGCTCCCAAGAGATAGATTTAGGATCTGACTGCAGAGCTGGGGTTTCCCTGCCTGATTGTCCTTTATAAAACCTGGCTTCTTAGATAAGAACGAAAGGACACTTTGGATCATCTAAACCAGCAGTTCTTAAACTTGAGTGTCCATTGGAACCCCCCAGAGGCTCAATAAATCCCAGATTGCTGGGCTGTACCTCAATTTCTGATTCAGCAGTTCTGTATTTCCAACAAATTCCTAGGATTCTGAGGCTGCTAATTCAAGGACTCTAATTTAAGAACTTCTGGTCTAAACCATTTTCTTAGAGGCTCTAGAGAAATTCTGAACCTCTAGTGATACACATACCAACTTGTGTTTTTGGTGGAGGTAGTATTGGGGATGGGACCTAGGGCGTTGTGCATTCTAGGCAAGAACTCTGCCACTGGATCTACATCCCGTTTGTCTGTCTTTATTTTGAGACAGGTTCTTGCTATATTGCCCAGGCTGGCCTCAAACTTGGAATTCTCCTGCCTCCGCCTCCTCAGTAGCTGAGATTACAAGCTCATGCCACTATGTCCAGCCACAAACATTTTAAAAAATACTTCTATATTTAATATTTGTTGGCAAAAAATCAGCACAAGAAACCCACGATTTCTAGTGAGAAATCTACTGAAGTAGAAAGAAGATATAAATACAAGAATTATGAAAGTAATAATACTAGTAATCCCCATACAACTAGTGATAAAATTGAGCAGTGTATGCAGACAACTGAAGTCTGGGAGACACTGAGCTAATTGGAGTCCTCATTCTGCAGAGGAGGAAACAGGTAAACCTGCCACCCTGGGCCACATGGCTGTTAGTACCTGGGCCTGCATTATCTCTCAGAGCTGCCTGTTCTGCAAGTTCTGCAAAGCACCGGGCTGGCTAGGGAAGCTCATGACCCTGACCCTACCCAGGGATCTTGGTCTCCATTCTCAGCCCTACAAACAGGGGTCTGCTTCTGTAATATTAGTCATTGGCACATTTTTAGTCTAGTCTGAGCCAGAGCTTCCCTAAAGGCAAAAGACTTGATCTGTGAACTTGTCCTTGTGTGGCGCCCAGGCCCCCAAGCCCTAGGACCCTGAGAGTATTGAGGAGGGCTCTCCTGCATCTCTCCTGGTGCCACTTTGGCTGGTCACCCTGTTATCTTTCCTCTTCTCCACGTGCTGGCCTGGCAGCCTGTGCTTTCCCTTGTGTGGTGCCATCCAGGGAGCTCCCTAAGCAGATGAACAGGACTGTCCACCTCAGTGGGAGCTGTGGTGGAACACGTAAGGTGTGAACCCTGCCCTCGAGGTATGGTAGTTACTTCAGAAAAGGAATTAACAAGCAGGCCTGGAGGGTCTGGATGGCTTCCTGGAGGATGGGATGTGAGAACTGGTTTCAAAGGATGATGGGGAAAGGCTTTTGAAGGCACCGGAGAATTGATGCCAGCACTTGACACCAGGAACTGGTCATTCAGTTCAGCATTTGCCTGAGTAGTGGGTGTGGAGATGGGGGCAGTGAGGGGCAGGCTTACCCCAGATTCACTCAGCCCTGGGACCCAGAAGGCACTGGCCTCTCTCAGTTAGACACCTCCAGAGGCAGTGGGAGCCATTTTTTAAACTTTGGCTACAATTCACTAGTGGGTTACAAGATAGATTTTGTGGGCTGCAGCGAGTATTCTTCAAAAGTAGAGTAAGGGAGAAGTAAACTAAGAAGTATCAAGAGTTGCCTACACATGATGGAGATAGGTATTGTGTCAAGAAAACTTAGTTTCATGTGTAAGAGAAGCATGTGTGAAGAGCAATGGGTTCATTGTGAGATGTATTTCTTACTATGGGTCACACTGTAACAACCCTGAAAATTGTTAAGGTGCAGAGGAAAATGGGAGGAAGCTGGTCTGGCTGGCATGGTCACTGGGCCAGTCTGGGGAGCGGGGGTGAGAACAACTGGCAGGGAGGGTGGATTCTAGCTTGGGCTGGATGAAGCAAGTGACAGTGTGGGACTGCAGCTGACTGAAGTCGGAGCCTGGCCCAGCCCAAGCCCCTTGGGCCAGGGTGGCGCCAGTTTACAGAATCAGTCTCGGTGTTCTCGACATGGTGAACTGGAAGCCTGAGTTGCTGGGGGCTTCTGGAGAGAAGGATCTCCCTCCTCCTCATTTGTTGACGTCAGAACCTTTGGGTTAACACAGAGGCCTTTCTCCTCATGACTGAAGGCATACAAAGAAGACGCCAGTACACAGGCTCTGCAGGCTTGAGGGTGTCTTGGTGGCAGCTGTGCTAATAATCACCCCACCTCTGCTGCCCTCCCTCCAGGAACATTGTGAAGGCCATGAGGGAGCTTCGTGAAGTTCTAAGGACCGTGGAGACCAAAGCGACACAGAACTTCAAAGTGGTAATGTGGCTGCTGGCTGTGCCTGGTTTATTCAGGGGCCAGTTTCTGTGGGAGACAACAGAAGTCATGGCAGGCAGCTCCCGAGCCAGGGGTGGCAGTGTGTTGTAGGCAGTGCTTACCCTCCTGCTTGCGGCAGACGTTGGTAATCAACCTCAGCATTCTTCCCTGCTAAGCATGGGATGCACCCTCGGCATCCTTCTTGCCACTCCACTGTGGGAAACACCTACCCTTAGAGCAGAGCTAAAATCTACCACCACTCTGGAGGTGTGACTCAGTGATGCAGTGCTTGTCTAGCAAGCATAGGGCCTGAGTTAGCTCCTCAGTGCCCCCCAACCCCCACCTCTGCCATCTCTCTAATAGCAAAATTGGTCTTGGTGAGGTGGTATTGCTCAATCTCAGATTTATGATCCTAATCAATATTGTGAACTCTGTTTTCTTGCCCTAACTCACACCCGCCTTCATAGGCCTTAATTCATCCAAAATCACAGTCACAACTGCCATTCATGCTAGAATTTCCGGTCAGCTGTCAGCATCTCCACCAGGCATTTTGTAGAGAAAGCTGCCTGTGCCTATGGCCAATTGCTTTCCACTTCTGTAAGGGCCTGAAGGGCACGCGGGGGTGTGTGGGGGAGGCTCCCTGGTGTCAGGAGGAGGTCAGCACCTCTTGTCTAGAACAGGAGAAGCAGAAGAGATGCGGAAGAGCCATCCAAGCCAAAGGGCAGGGCTGGGGCACCTCTGCGTGGGGACGCCTCTAGAGTGGCATCAAGGAAGCCTCCTGGGGCTGCACACTCAAGGGGAGGCTGGGTGAAGGCCCTCTAGGTGTGCTTGGGGCTGAGTTCCTCCCTCTTGCAGATGGCTGCCAAGCACCTGGCAGGAGTTCTGCTGCACTCGCTGAGTGAGGAATGCTACTGGAGCCCCTTGTCCCACCCTCTGCCCGAGTTCATGAGCAAGGAGGACAGCGCCTTCGTCATGCAGGCCCTGCGCAAGCCTCACCTCTATGAAGGGGACAAGTGAGTTCCACTTGCCCTGCTGCACCACATCACTGTCATGCTGTGTGTGGCTCCTGGTTTCTGCCTGCACTCCCTCTGAGCTGGTCAGACACTCAGAGACCAGGGAAGGAAGGACTCCTGTGGGCCTGAGGGAGACTCCATCCAGTAAGGCACCATTATTTGGTGGTCTCCCTTTCTTGTTTGTGCCTACAATCATAGGTGGGGTCCATGGCCAGCTGGCAGAGCCTAAGAGCCTATTTCACATTCTCTTGCACCTCGCCCTGCAGCATCAGGCAGTGCTTCTGGGCAGGAAGGGTTACTTCTTCCCCAGGGCCATCTGTGGCCTTTCAGACCATAATTCTAGGGCCTGCTAAGGAGCTGCATGTGATGTCAGTGCCCATGAATTATGCAGGAGTGGGTCACCTTACCAGGCTGGTGTTGACTCAGGGCAGAAGGGCTGCACAGTGGTCAGAGGTGCTGTTGCTGCAAGTGGCCTGGAGCCTGGCTGCATTTGCCTTTCAGCCTCTATTGCCCAAAGGATAACATCGAGGAGGCCCTCCTGCTGCTGCTCATCAGTGAGTCCATGGTAAGCCTGGGTTACCTGTGGGGAGGGGCTGGGGCTTAGGCACAGGCTCCGTGTCCTGGGCAAACTCTGCTTCTAGGGAGGCCCCCAGCTCTGGAGCTTATTGGTTCTGCTTGCCCGTACAGAGGGTGAGTCTGGCTCATTGGGCCTAGGTTTGGCTGCATGGGCTGCACTGGGAGACCTGGGCTCTGCCTTCAAATGGGCCGGGCCTGAGTGCATGGTCCTCTCTTCTGGGATTGCAAAAGGTGATTGTCACAAGGGATGTCTGCATCAGGCAGATCGAGAGAGCAGCAGGTGGGAGTGGAAGGAGCATGTGCTTTGGAAGCAGAAGGCCAGGGTTCAAGTTTCAGCTCTGACCCCATTAGCTAAGGACCAGCAGCAACTCACTCAGTCTCCTTGAGCCTTGGTTTCCTCCTGTGAGATGACAGCCCCAGGTGGTGATGCACCCCTATAATCTGAGCACTTGGGAGGCTGAGGCATGAGAGTCACTGTGAATTTAAGGCCAGCCTGGGCTACATAGCAGACCCTGTTTCAAAACCAAAGAAACAAAGATGAAAGTAACTCACAGAGGTGTGAATGGAATTCATACATTTGTGTAACAATTATTATCTGCCTTGGTCCTGGTGCTGCTGTCCTTGTGGAGCCTACATTCTAGTGAGGGAGGTGGCACTGATAATAACAATCCAATCCCAGTATCCAGGGCACTGTTCGTGCGTAAGCGTGTGCATGCATATGCACACTGGGTGCACGAAGCAGAGGTGAGGATAAGGTGTGCTAGACAAAGCACACAGTGAAGTTCTCTGTAGACTTTGTCCCAGGACCCATTTCCCATGCCTTGGCCAGGGGAGGAAAACAAAGGCACGTGTGAGGGTGCACATGTACGCACAGTGGTCGCAATGCCAGGAGATGGTGTCCTCGTGCTGGAGTGCCTGGGAGGCCCTCTTAAGGGGAGTACAGTGTGGCTGGGTCATCCAGGAAGTGGAGAGATAAAGGATGGACTGGACACCTCCGAGGAAGGTGGGAAAAGGGAGCAGCAGAGACCGGAGAAGCCAAGCACAGAGATCCATCTCCAGGGCTGGGTCCCAGTCTACTGAGGGGTGCACAGAGGTGGTGAGCTGGGGTCACCAAGTTGAGATAGATCTTCTAAGTCAGTGTATCTGAGGAGTGGAGGTTGAGAAACCAAAATCCAGGCCGGGGATTTTAGCTCAGTGGTTCTGCTGCCTGCCTCATAAGCACAAGGACCCAATTTCGATCCCCAGTGCCAAAGAAAAAAAGAACCAAAATCCATGAGCTGGATCCCTGAACAACTGGAAATGAGTGTTCTTTGGACAGCTGGGATGGTGGCTGTGGTCATCTGTGATGGTGGCTTTGAACATCTGGTTGATGTCAGAGCTTGTTTAGGGAACTTTGGTGGAAACATTGCCTCTGACTCCACAGGTCTCCCAGCGGTAGACAGGAGGAAGGATGCTTGGTCATGGAGTGGAGAGACTGTACCCCTAACCAGGCTGGTCCATTTCGGATCTGAGGTTCCCTGTTTCAGGACTTGGGTGTTTGGAGTTAAAGTGCCAGCTGGACATGAGATGACATTGGCGTGACCTTCCTATGCTGTGGGTTACTGTGTAATTCATAGGGGATGGCAATTGGTGAAAGCAGCACCATTTCTGAGGCCCCGTCTCTGCCAGGGACCAAGGTGACTACTTCACATAGGTGGGCATTATGTTGAGCCATATGAAATTACCAGTTTTTAATTGTTTATGGCCTACAACCAGTGAAGGTCATTTAATATCAATATATTCCTATCTTTTTTGTTATTATTTCTTTGAGACAGGGTCTTGCTATATAGCTCGGGCTGGCCTTGAGCTCTTGTCAGTCCTCCTGCCACAGTCTCTGGAGTGCTAGGATTACCTTGCACCACCATGCCCTTGTTCATTATGTTTCCATCTTAAAAATGAGAAAAGTAAGGGCCAGGATAAGTACCTGTCTTGGTCAAGGTCATGTGCTGATAAGCCTTGTGGTTACATTCTAACCATACCCATCTCCCGTCATGGACTCCCAAAGCATAGACATGGAATCCAAGCTCCTGGATTTCAAGATATCAGGATTCTGTGGCTCACTCCCTGCTCTGATCCTCTATTTTCTCATCTATAAAATGTCCAAAGAGTTAATTTTGAGGACCAAATGGCTATTGTTTTTCTCCTCAGTAGGAGTTGAGGCTGCACTCAGTCTCCTTGAGCCATTTTCTGTGGTCCCTGTTTGATGGAGAATGAGACCAGAATTCAAGGGCCTTTCCCACACTGTTATCCCCACCCCCACCTCACCCCTAGTACTTCCAGTTGCCCCTAATCTCAAAGTGGAGGACAGCCTATTACAGAGATGTGGCCCATTCTTGGAGCCAGGGGAATGTTCTTGGATATGTGCCTTCCCTTCAAGCAGCTCTTCTCGCTTTGTAGTAGGGATTGTGTCAGGCCAGCCTGCCCCCCAGGCACCTGGGGTAGAGGTGGGGGTCCTGGGGTATCACTGCAGCATCAGAGCAGAAGGACTGCACAGCACTACATGGTCGTCAGGAGTAGGCACCCCCAGCCATTGACTGGCTTGTTGCTTTTTGACTGCCCACAGTCTGTCAGACATATGGAAGCCTAAGGAATTTGGGGAGGGACATAGACTTAGCTTTACTTAGCCTTTTGGCTTCCAGTCTAAATTTGGCCTCTGCAGCTCCCAGATTCCTTCATCTTCTACATCTCCATCCCTTTAGTCACTCTTGATCAGCCAGAGAACTAGGATGTGGGTTCCACGGGGCCAGTCCCCCCATTCCTGCTCCTGCTCTCACCTGTCCACTGAACCCCAACACTCCACACCCCCTCTGTCTGGCCACCATGTCCCTGGGAGAGTTTCCTCATCTCTCTTGGATGCTGGCTGGGTTTGGCCACAGGTGAAGGGCTTGAGAAGCCTGTAGAACAGCAGTGAGCAGCCTCAACCACTGCTTGGATTCTCCTGATACCTGCAGAATTCCTTGTGCTGCAGTAAAAGTGACTTCTGCGAGGCAACCCATAATCACTATGGCCCTCACCTCCCGGATATCCCAAGCAGCTGCTCCTGCAGAGGGTGTTTGCAGGCTTCCCATTTTGTGGTTTGGAGCTCAGAAATAGCCGTGTGGGGTCTGGGTGTGGGGCTAGTGCCGTGAATATGGTTTTTGTTACACACTGTGTGATCAGAATGAATACGGGAGCCCTTATCTTTTAAGCGATAAATAAAAATTACAAATACCTCCATAGGAATGCAAAGGATCTGGAAATTGATTGAAGATTTATGTTTTGGACTTAGTTTTGAGTCTGTCTAAAAGAGAATTTTAAAATCCATCAATCCATCCATCAGTCCATCCACTCATTCATCTGTGCATCCATCCATCCACCCACCCACTTGTCCATCTCCCTACCCACCATCAGTTCATCCATCCATCTGTCCATCCACTCATTCATCTGTGCATCCATCCATCCACCCACCCACTTGTCCATCTCCCTACCCACCATCAGTCCATCCATCCATCTGTCCATCCCCTCATTCATCTGTGCATCCATCCATCCACCCACCCCCTTGTCCATCTCCCTACCCACCATCAGTCCATCCATCCATCTGTCCATCCCCTCATTCATCTGTGCATCCATCCATCCACCCACCCCCTTGTCCATCTCCCTACCCACCATCAGTCCATCCATCCATCTGTCCATCCCCTCATTCATCTGTGCATCCATCCATCCACCCACCCCCTTGTCCATCTCCCTACCCACCATCAGTCCATCCATCCATCTGTCCATCCCCTCATTCATCTGTGCATCCATCCATCCACCCACCCCCTTGTCCATCTCCCTACCCACCATCAGTCCATCCATCCATCTGTCCATCCCCTCATTCATCTGTGCATCCATCCATCCACCCACCCCCTTGTCCATCTCCCTACCCACCATCAGTCCATCCATCCATCTGTCCATCCCCTCATTCATCTGTGCATCCATCCATCCACCCACCCCCTTGTCCATCTCCCTACCCACCATCAGTCCATCCATCCATCTGTCCATCCCCTCATTCATCTGTGCATCCATCCATCCACCCACCCCCTTGTCCATCTCCCTACCCACCATCAGTCCATCCATCCATCTGTCCATCCCCTCATTCATCTGTGCATCCATCCATCCACCCACCCCCTTGTCCATCTCCCTACCCACCATCAGTCCATCCATCCATCTGTCCATCCCCTCATTCATCTGTGCATCCATCCATCCACCCACCCCCTTGTCCATCTCCCTACCCACCATCAGTCCATCCATCCATCTGTCCATCCCCTCATTCATCTGTGCATCCATCCATCCACCCACCCCCTTGTCCATCTCCCTACCCACCATCAGTCCATCCATCCATCTGTCCATCCCCTCATTCATCTGTGCATCCATCCATCCACCCACCCCCTTGTCCATCTCCCTACCCACCATCAGTCCATCCATCCATCTGTCCATCCCCTCATTCATCTGTGCATCCATCCATCCACCCACCCCCTTGTCCATCTCCCTACCCACCATCAGTCCATCCATCCATCTGTCCATCCCCTCATTCATCTGTGCATCCATCCATCCACCCACCCCCTTGTCCATCTCCCTACCCACCATCAGTCCATCCATCCATCTGTCCATCCCCTCATTCATCTGTGCATCCATCCATCCACCCACCCCCTTGTCCATCTCCCTACCCACCATCAGTCCATCCATCCATCTGTCCATCCCCTCATTCATCTGTGCATCCATCCATCCACCCACCCCCTTGTCCATCTCCCTACCCACCATCAGTCCATCCATCCATCTGTCCATCCCCTCATTCATCTGTGCATCCATCCATCCACCCACCCCCTTGTCCATCTCCCTACCCACCATCAGTCCATCCATCCATCTGTCCATCCCCTCATTCATCTGTGCATCCATCCATCCACCCACCCCCTTGTCCATCTCCCTACCCAC